CGCCCCTCGTGGAAATTAATGGCGCAGACATGCGGTTACATTCACTACACATAGTCCTACTGAAGCTCACATTGTTTTCAGCCTCTGCCGCCTCAATATATGAGTACATGAACACATAAAAATAATCTCTAGAACTGCTCTGAGTAATAGGGTAACTTGTAATCTGTAACCTATTACATTTGCAAAGTAACCTTCCCAACACTGGTTATCAATTTGCAAAAGTGAAAAAAGCACCATAAAATGACCATAAATGTAGTTCATGTGACTCATGCACTGCAAAACAAGTCTTCTGAAGCCATGTAATAGCTTTGTGTGAGGAAAATAAGAATGTTAGTTGTCATTCCCCTCCACTATAACTTTCAAACCTAATTTAAATTCACTTATGACCAGTTACTTTTAAAAGTAATGCATTACAATATTGCGTTACTCAATAAAAATGTAACTAATTGCATTACTTAGGTAATTTTTATGGAATGTAATGAGTTATGTTACTTTTGCATTACTTTTTGTCGTCTGGGCTAGGCTTGCTTATTTCTTTAAAAAACAAAACAAAAAAAAAACTCAAAAGTTATATTTTTGCCAACTGTAAAGGACCGTTCACACCAAAAGTGAAATTAATAAGCCTCAGGCTGGAGGAAATATCTCTGCCTCTACACCTCACTCCCAGTTTCTCTCAACATGGGGACATTAGAGGTGTCAGTGAATAAATGGAAAAACACTTGCATTACTTATTTGAAAAAGTAACTTAGATATTTTGTTGTAAATTTAAAAGTAATGAGTTACTTAGTTACTTGAAAAAAGTTATCTGATTACATAACTTGCATTACTTGTAATCCATTACCCCCAACACTGCTTATGACTGTATTTAATCACACATTCAAATTGCACTAAAAAAGATTTTACAGTTGCAATGAATAGGAACAATATGATTTTTGATTACTGGGAAGTCATATAGACTCGCCATTTGGAAGCAAGCCTTTTGTTTGTCTTTTTGTTGTCTGCGGAAGAAAGTAAGTCATACAGGTTTGATGAAAATGAAGTAATGAAATTTGATGATGTAAATTAAAATTTTGACCAGCTGATATTATGCAGGCAATATCACCTTACAGACTGAAATGTATTCAACACTGTTACTAATGTCTAAGACAATGCATGTGCAGCATAAAATAGGCAGTGTAAGAAGTAACACTGTGTGACATTGTGTTTTTTTTTCTCTGTTCTCTGTCTCCCTCCCTCTTCCTGTCACACTCCTCAGTAAATGGAGTCCCGAACAGCCAAATCACTACCCCCAAATCCACCAAATCCTCAAGTTCCTCCCCGACCAGCCCCCGCAGCATGCACAACTTCAAGGTAAACCCGTTGGCATGGCAACAGGCTTCCACTGTGTTGCTAATCAGTTTACTGGCAAAACATGGCGAGTTTTAGAATAGATTATTTCTTCATCAAGTCAAAAATAAGATCAGGCTTCTGAATGCTGACTCATGGATGACAGCATCATAACGCTCTCACTCCTGATTAAGAGTTTAGTGAAGCTGCCTAAATTATTCCCTCACAACAAATTGAAGCTGCAGTTGTAACGCCCCTAAATTTCTTCAGGTTAGACTGATGACACTTTATAACTTCACTTTTTCCTATACTTTTGGGGGGAAAAAAATGCTGTTCGGGGGGGAAAAAAGATTTTGAATTAGAAGTTTTTTATTTTTTTACTGCTGTCTAAAGTTTTCAAACTTTTGATGATATATACAAGTGTTTACCTTTTTATTCCTGTGTTGTTTGTTAAATGGGAACATGACTGACATATCAGTAATATATATAATTATATAATATTATATATGACGTATATTATATATAAAGTAGATTAAAGTAGATTATATATAAAGTAATATTTTATATTATAGGCCTATATATAATAAATATTTGAAAAATGCAGTGAACATTGTTCCATTAAAGTATTTAGTCAGAATATGTTCTTTTATTTTAAAAGCTTATCAACATATAATAAAAGTACATATTATAAAAAAAGTATAATATTTTATATTTTGTTATATAAGAATATATGTCCACTTTTAATACATTATATAAAACTCTGCAGTGATATTAACAGCAATGATATTTCTTTACGGTACAGTTGCCTTTGTCACTTATTGTTTCAAATTCTGTATTTTGATCAAATCAGTCACAGCGTAAATATTTTAATGCTATTTTTTACTATTGTAACATGTATGTAAAGTACATGTTACTTACAGGCAGGTAGGTGTGCTAAACAATTAAAAATATGTTACTTGCACCTGATTTTCCTTATTAGAGTTTCCACACCATACAACATTAGAGAGTGTTTAGTAGTTGTCTGTATAGTGGTGGTCTAATATCAGTATTGTTTCAACATTATCTTCTAAAGACATAGAAGTCTTCATCAGCACTTGTAACAGAAAATCCGCTCTGATAGGCCTAATCACTCCTATTCTTGGAAGCATTGTGAGTATAGGCATTGAGATCTTGCTGAGATCTGACTGCAGATCTGTAATTAAACCAAAGGTCAAAGTCAAGTATGATCATAGCCTCGAGAACTGCTGGTGTTAATCTGCTTAACTGACCTGTCTATCAGACGGTAAGCTTCTTCTCGTACGGGCGCTATCTTTAAAGCTTCTTGAAAGCACAAGGAGAATTTGAATGACAAGGAGACACTTTCATTCATTTTTAGAGAGGATTTAGTGGTAGATTTAATTGTGAATAGTGAGATATTTGGCACATACTCACTAAGTCAACTTATAGGAAAATCTCAAATGGGATCTCAATTTTCTTTTTCTTTTTTTCTGAGAGATCAATACAATTAAAAGGACATGGCATACAATTAAAGCATGGCATTTTAGAGCATTCAAACATTTGGAATTTAAATGAATAAATATGAATTTATTTGGCCAGTGTTAAGCATATTAATTTAATCTCTTGTATGTCATAAATTGCCTTATTCATTTACATTTTTTGTTTTTCCTAAGGAACTCTAGTATGGTCTCTGAGATAAAAAAAAAAATTTCAATTTTAGTTAAGTGAAAAGTGTATTAAATTATATGAAGTCTAACAAGCTATATAAAACCAATGTCTGCAAATTGAGAAATATGCTATTTTCAGATACTTGTGAATGTCTATTATGAAACAAATGATTTATAGTATTCTACCATTTCTGTGTTTTTTTATACCGGAGGTATGGCTGGATGAGTGGTTTGATGGAAAGTTGCTTGTCAGGCTGGTTCTTTGCACATTGTTCCTGAGATTTCAAGCTAATTTTAGACCAAACGCGCCAACATTGTGGTTACATAAATATCTTCCCACTTGCCTTTAGTTTAGTTGCAACAAGCGGATGGGAGTCCCCCTCCGTCTCTCTGTACAGGTATTATGAAACTCTGCCTTCTGTAGCAGCATTCAAATGAGCTGCAGTTCTTTCTGGGTATTCAAGTTTTTAGTTGGGAATCTTACATAAATGATTGTATGATTGATTCAGTCATTTTAACAGCATAGTATTTGGCCGTATATTTTAACTTACAATCCATTGGAGTATTTGAATCCTTCAAAACAGCTTGTGATACCCAACTGGTACTCGGATACTTAGACAGAGGAATCCTGTGGCCTCTATTAAACCAGCTTTAACCAGGATGCTGCCAGTATTTGTCTCCATTGGCTTACTTAGTCCTCTCTCACATGTCACTGTCACTTCAGTTTAATTCTTATTTGGCTGCTGAATCAAGATAACATGCAGGCTTTTTAACCATACTGATTGCCAGACCATTTTAAATCTTTTAAGACTAGGTCCATTATTTTTTGTGTCAGTCACACGCAGTTTGTCTTCCAGACAGCTCTTTTTGTCTCCTCATCAATCATTTATTTCACTAAGGATGACGCTCAGTGTCAGATGGCAGTGTGTTATTGATAAAAAATATTATGCTTTATTTGAAGGTTTAGTATAATCGCATAGCTGCTACAGTATAACCAGTTCACATTGCTTTTGTTTTTACCAGGGCTGGGCAATATAACAAACATTGATGATTTGTGATGATTTGGTTATAAATATCACAATGCTTTTAGCTCTTTTTTTATTTGGACATTGGCTTGTTTTGCAATCCTTGTAACACGCACCTTGTTGACTGTTAAGACATTTTAATGTCTGTGAACTGTTAATCTTTTATATATGCAGTAAAATACACAGAAACATTTACACTTATAAAAAGTGATATATTATGTTAGTCTTGATGTAATGAAATTAGTGAAATAAGGTAATAATGCATACTTTTCCAAAATGTATTTTACTATTTAATATTTTATCAGGTGAAGATAAAATATTAAAATAGCTTTTAAGCTATTAAAAGCTTTTAATGCTTTTAATAGCATCATGTGTTTACTTGCCAGGAATATGGATTTGTGAATCAGGAAGGTAGTAAATGTGATTTTTTTTAACCAATAATGAATATTCATAGCACATTCAACAAACATGCAGCTTCACCTGTTTCAGGAAAAGCTTGTTTTATGACCTTTTATGAAATTCATCTAAATGACTTAATCAAACTATGATTCAACTAATACTTCAAATCACTCAGAAAATGTTCACTGGAGTTTTATTTTCAGTAAAACTACACAATTGTTCAGAAGTTTGGGGACAGTAAATTGTTTTATGTTTTTGAAAGAAGCCTTGTATATATACAGTGGGTACGGAAAGTATTCAGACCCCCTTAAATTTTTCACTCTTTGTTATATTGCAGCCATTTGCTAAAATCATTTAAGTTAATTTTTTTTCCTCATTAATGTACACACAGAACCCCATATTGACAGAAAAACACAGAATCGTTGACATTTTTGCAGATTTATTAAAAAAGAAAAACTGAAATATCACATGGTCGTAAGTATTCAGACCCTTTGCTCAGTATTTAGTAGAAGCACCTTTCCGTACCCACTGTATATATATATATATTTTTTTTTTTAAATATATATTTTAAAATGTTATTTATTCCTTTGATGACAAAGTAGAATTTTCAGAATCCTTGTGTTAATTCTGCACTGTGTTTCATTTTGAAAAACACCTTGATTTGAGGATACAACCAATTATTCCAGATTGGCTGGTATCAAATGTAAATGTTTATTTGTCATTTAAAAAACCTATATTGATGTATTAATCTAAATAATGTCTATGATGGTTAAGGCTCTGTCTTGAATACTTTTACTTACTACTTAATACACTTACGCTTGGCTACATTTGATGTTTGGTTGATTTAATGGTTCATCTGATTGGGGAAAGAAATCACTCACTTAATACATTTCATATCAACTGCATAAATATCATACTTTTTTTTGTTTTGTTATATCGCCCAGCCCTATCACTGTAGTATGTAAATAAAACATCTGTAGCGCTTTTAAGGAGTTCTAAATGTTTTAGGTCTTGTGACTTATTTTGTCTCTGTTTGCAGATTCCAGCACATCACTCCTCTGCAACCAATGTGAACGGCTCCTTTGAGACTCACCAACAACACAACAACAGTGTGAGCCCTGAAGGTAAACATCCACCCGAAATGAATCAGTCATGCACTCACTCACCTTGGATCTTACTGTGTTTCAAGCCCAGAAGTCCCCAAAGGGCATTTCAGGGGTATGACGAGGTTTGGCGGTGAAAGTGCTGACACATGCCTCTCTGTGCCACATTTGCTCAGGCGCTCTCCCACACTTTCACACACTGTGGTGGCAGTGTATGAGCAAACGTCACTGCTCAGCAGCGCATGAGTCAGAATGACCTTCAGCAATTTTCTGCATAATGCACTAACCAAAGTTAAACTGCTGGATGCGGATGTTGGGGCTAATCTGCTATTTGGGGGTTTTACAAAACATTCTTCTGCCTCTTTGTTTTCACCTTAGTTTTGATCATGTGGTATGAAAATTATATTCTTTCAGTCTGATGTGTTAAATGTTTGTTCCCTTTAGTTAATGGAAACAGGAACCTTGCTGCTTCCACAATTATGGACAAGTACAAAATTGGCAAAGTTATAGGTGATGGGAACTTCGCTGTGGTAAAGGAGTGTGTCGGACGGTAAGAAAATGACTAGTTATGAGATGTTTTTTTTGTCAGAAAAAGATATAATGGGTCTTCGGGGTCAGTAAAATTGGGTTGCAGTTTGTTTGTTCTCCATTCTAAGCTTGTTATTGTCATGATCTCTGATTAAAATGCATAAAGAATACTGTCTACATCTAGATGCAGTTTTCCTGTTTGTATTTTTAGGCTAAAATGTTCAAAGGAAGATCTCTTGTGCTCTCAAAGGACATCCACTTTATAAATTGGTTCCTGAGGCTCCGAATGCACTCAAAACAAACCATCATTAACCTCCTTGAAACAAAGTCTATTGTTCTGTCTCTTTCCATAGATCCACTGGAAAGGAGTTTGCACTGAAGATCATTGATAAAAACAAATGCAGAGGCAAAGTGAGTTGGACTTTACAGACTTTTTGCAACACCAGCCAGCCAATGGAGAGAGTGAACTGAAAAAATACCAGGCATAAATATTCCTTACCAGCCATGAAACTGTGTTTAGCATTGTTTTTATTGGTAATACATATATTTTGTCCTTACAACAATGCAATTATAGCTGTTTATGAGTTTTGAGCACTAGCTGTAAAGTTGGGTTATTGCAATGCCAATTATTTACGCCTCAGTGGTCTGAAATTTTGACTGATTAGATATTTGATGGATTGCCATTTATCCAGCATGCTGCAGTTTTTGCAAGTCATGGAAGAAAAGGCCTACAGATGAGACCCAATTTATTCTAGAGGTGTAAATCCCTTTGTTGGATTGGTAAATTGTCTCCCCAAACTGTTGCAACAAAGTTGTAATGTCATTGTATGCTGCTAAATTTTGAATTATTTTCACTAGAATTACTGGAATAGCAAGACCTGTTATTTAGAAGGGGTGTTCACATACTTTTGGCCATGTACTGTATGAATGATATGTAAACAGCTTACCATATTATATTGGTGGCCAATGTCTCATAATCTAATTTCAGTCTGTGCTTTAACCGAGGAAGTTAGTTTCCTGTTTGCCTGGTTTCCTGCAAAAGCAAACCTCAGGAATTCATGCAGATTTATGCCTCGACAGCTAAAGACAAAAGACTGCTGAGAGTTGCTGTACGGTTGGGAATTTGTTGTGACACATGCTTTGAACACACAGGAGCACCTGATCGAGAGTGAGGTGGCAGTGTTGAGGCGTGTTAAGCATCCTAATATCATCATGCTGATTGAGGAGGTGGATACGCCCACTGAGCTCTATCTAGTCATGGAACTTGTGAAGGTACTGTTTGTTAGTCACCACAGTTTATACATCTCTCAACATTGCACACTTACACGTTGTTCTTACCACACTGCACTAAAGACAACATAAATATTTATGCTATTTTTTTCTTGATAAATAAATCTGGTCTTATTGTGCATGATTCATCAGTGTACACGGACAACAAAGTTTGTTTTCATATTCCTTTATAAAAATATAAAGCTTCTGAAACTTCTAAACGTTAATATTACCGTATATGTAATTCTTAGATTTTTTTATATATAATTTCCTATTTATTTTGTTTTTATTTCAGACACTACCATCTCTAAAAAATAAAAGAAAAACAATTTTTAAAAGTCTTTAATGCTTACCAAAGCTGCATTTAATTGAAAAATACAGTAAAAACAGTAATTTTCTGAAATATTAATACAATTTAAAATAACTTTATTTTAATTTACTTTAAATATATTTTATTTTTTTTTAAATATTTTTCAATATATATTATAATGGAATTTATTCGTTTGATGGCAAAGCTGAATATCTATACACATTTTTTTTTAGGATTCTTGATGAAAATCATTTTTTTGAGAGAAATCTTTTGTAACAAAATAAATGTCTTTTAACTTTTGACCTGTAGTGTATGTATAAATTAAAGCTAATAATATAATATAATATAATATAATATAATATAATATAATATAATATAATATAATATAATATAATATAATATAATATAATATAATATAATATAATATAATATAATATAATATAATATAATATAATATAATATAATATAATATAATATAATATAATATAATATAATATAATATAATATAATATAATATAATATAATATAATATAATATAATATAATATAATATAATATAATATAATATAATATAATATAATATAATATAATCTCAGATGCACCCTACATTATAGGACAGTTAAATGCATTGTAAATTCTGTGTATTGTTGTCAGCTACATTGCACTAAATGACTGCATTCAATATTAAACTCTTGTCCCCATATAAAGGCAGAAACATGTTTGTTACCTCTAGGTTAAAGTGTGTTTTATACAGAATACAGAGATAGAGATTTTTAGTTGTTTGTATTGACATCTGTGTGTTTCAGGGTGGAGATCTGTTTGATGCAATCACCTCCTCAACAAAATACACTGAAAGAGATGCTAGTGTAATGGTATTCAACCTGGCGGCAGCTCTCAAATATCTGCACAGAATGTGTATCGTCCATCGAGACATCAAACCTGAGAATCTGCTGGTACGCACATATACACAGACAAACATATCCTCAAAAGAGACATTAAATATACAGTATACAGGTATATACACATACACACCTTGCACAGAGACAATAAATCTGAAAATACTTTAGTTCACACAACTTTAACACATACACACCAGTACAGAAATACAAAACCTGTGAAGAAAACAACTTTGCATTTTGCACATGGAAAATGACTTAAGGTATGTCAAGAAGGAAAAAATGTAAATCCGGGTGGATAAAAATAATCCTTTTGCCTTTCACTATGTGTGTTGTAGGTGTGTGAGTATCCTAATGGTACAAAGTCCTTAAAGTTGGGTGATTTTGGCTTGGCCACAGTGGTTGAAGGGCCACTGTACACTGTTTGTGGAACACCCACTTATGTTGCCCCAGAAATCATAGCAGAGTCAGGGTAAGAATCACTGATTGTTTTGTAATCTCAGATGCACCCTACATTATAGGACAGTTAAATGCATTGTAAATTCTGTGTATTGTTGTCAGCTACATTGCACTAAATGACTGCATTCAATATTAAACTCTTGTCCCCATATAAAGGCAGAAACATGTTTGTTACCTCTAGGTTAAAGTGTGTTTTATACAGAATACAGAGATAGAGATTTTTAGTTGTTTGTATTGACATCTGTGTGTTTCAGGGTGGAGATCTGTTTGATGCAATCACCTCCTCAACAAAATACACTGAAAGAGATGCTAGTGTAATGGTATTCAACCTGGCGGCAGCTCTCAAATATCTGCACAGAATGTGTATCGTCCATCGAGACATCAAACCTGAGAATCTGCTGGTACGCACATATACACAGACAAACATATCCTCAAAAGAGACATTAAATATACAGTATACAGGTATATACACATACACACCTTGCACAGAGACAATAAATCTGAAAATACTTTAGTTCACACAACTTTAACACATACACACCAGTACAGAAATACAAAACCTGTGAAGAAAACAACTTTGCATTTTGCACATGGAAAATGACTTAAGGTATGTCAAGAAGGAAAAAATGTAAATCCGGGTGGATAAAAATAATCCTTTTGCCTTTCACTATGTGTGTTGTAGGTGTGTGAGTATCCTAATGGTACAAAGTCCTTAAAGTTGGGTGATTTTGGCTTGGCCACAGTGGTTGAAGGGCCACTGTACACTGTTTGTGGAACACCCACTTATGTTGCCCCAGAAATCATAGCAGAGTCAGGGTAAGAATCACTGATTGTTTTGTTTATATATATCATCATTGTTTTTCTAAAGTGATATTGCTATGGAGACCTTTAAAATGCTGGGGGCTGAATGTTAGTAACTGTGTCTTCCTGTCTGGGCATCACCGCAGATACGGGCTAAAAGTGGACATCTGGGCAGCTGGAGTAATCACCTACATCCTCCTATGTGGCTTCCCACCGTTCCGCAGGTACCACTAGATAGTACCTGCTCAGTCCTTCATGTTAATAAACTACAGTGTTTAAAAGCTAATGTTTAGTCTCATGTTGTTCATATTGCTCGTGTTTTGTATTGTACTCAGCAGAAATGTATGTTTTTATTGTCTATGTGCTTGCCATTTGTTTTTGTAGTGAGAATAACCTCCAGGAGGACCTATTTGATCAGATCCTGGCGGGGCGTTTAGATTTCCCATCACCCTTTTGGGACAATATCACGGATTCTGCTAAAGTGAGTACAGACAAACATATCATGACAATATTTAAAGGAGTAAAACACTAAAAGGAACTTAAGGTTTTCTTAAAATATCGAGTTTGCTAGAAATGTACTCACCCACTGGCCATTCAAGATGTAGATGAGTTTGTTTCTTTATCGGAACAGATTTGGAGTAATTTAGCGTGACATCACTTGCTCACCAATGGATCCTCTGCTGTAAATGGGTGCCGTCAGAATGAGCTGATAAAAACATCAGAATAATCTACAAATAATTCACACGATTCCACAGTGAGGCAAAAAGCTGCGTGTTTGTAATAGATCCATAATTGTTTTTATACTCAATGCATCGCTCTCAGCTAAAATGCAAGTCCTCTATTCATGATATTGCTTTCTCCAGTGAAAAAGTAGTCTTATCTGAATCAGAGAAATATGCAAAGATCAAGCACCATTTGCAAGTGAAAATGGTCCAAAGCTATTTCTTACAAACTTGCAGTTTTTTCATTTCACAAGACATTAATCGATGGACTGGAGTGGTGTGGATTACTTGTGGATTCTTGTGATGTTTTTATCAGCCGTTTGAACTCTCATTCCGACGGCACCCATTCACTGCAGAGCATCAGCAACTAATGTAATGCTAAAATTATCCATTCTCCGATTTCTGATGAAGAAACAAACTCATATATATCTTGAATGACATGAGGGTGAAATTTTCAAATTTTCAAATTGTCATTTTTGGCTGAGCTATTCCTTTAGCATGCTTTAAAACACACTGTCTCACCCTCACTTATTTATCTCGACATCCTTCATTCTTTATGCTATTCTCAATTCTGACTGCACCCTACTCGGTTTCATCCTACTCACATCATTATATCATCTCATTCACATCCTCTCCCTCTCACATTCACCCCATCCAGCTTTAGAACTGTTTTGTATGCTGGGTTTCTAACATCTTTCTCTGCAACGAATGACAGAATTTTTGCTGTGTATGCAAATGTGGACAAGCACACCTTTTTTTTAGATCGTGTTAATGGTCTTTTTAAATGGAAACCAGGCCAGTATCTCCTTTGTCTGGTATTAATTAAGCCCCATGTGTCATAATTACTATCAAAATTCAAATTCAAATTTTGAAAAGGAAAAAATATTCTCTTTGGGCCAAACATAATCCAGAAACATTTGATCATTAGGATTGGGACTAAATGTCTCACTTAGACTAATGCCTTACAAACTAAAGGCCCTTTTCTGAAACTTACCGTAATTCCTTAACTTTAAGCACAAAGACCTGTTGTACCTTTTCTGTTTTTATGCTAAAAATTAGGGCTGGGTTTTGATACAAATTTCACGATTCGATTCGATTCTCATTCACAAACTTGCGATTCGATTCGATTAACAATTCGATTCGATTCGATTCAATATCAATTATTTTGGATATATATCAGGTACAGTACGTGCCAAATTTTCTCAAGGAAACAAAAATCTCTCAACTAATGCTGTAAAATATACACGAGAGTCAGTTGGTACTACATTATTATAATACTGAAGGTTAAAATGGACTGATTTGTTAAAATTACACTTAATGAAGTTTTTAAAATAATAAAGTTACAATTACATAATAATAGTTCTACATCAATTCGTTTTTTTTATATATAAACATAAAGGTGGCTGTCATAAAAACTTGATGGATTTATTCAAACATAAATTAAACATTGAAGAACAGTCAAATGTATAATGAATATGTTATATGGTGCATATATTTAGCAAAATGCACCTCTACAGTTTATTTTTCTATCTGACTAATGAGTTTATGGTCACCGAATATGTTTTTCTGAGGTAAATGTGACGTTACATGACACATTGTTTACAAGACGTTATATTGACGTCTTTGCGCGGCTGAAACACTGATTGAGTGATTACATGAGACAGGATACGGATTGTAAAGCTGTACTCTTTATTTTAACTTGCCTTCGGATGTTTAGTCATGTTTATTTTGTGCTGAAGCTGGTATTAATGTGGAGGAGATGATCAGTTCA